GGTTGGACTAGATGACCCACAGAGGTCCCTTCCAACCCCTACTATTCTGTGATTCTGTAATTCTGTGAAGCTGGAGAACTAGACGTGTCCTATATTAACAGCTATTGCACCAGGTGCCCTTCTGTGGTGGAGGCTGGGCCGGGGAAAACCTTACTGCTGATTCATTAGAATTTCTCTTGTTACAGTTGGCAAAATGTCACTTCCGCGTAGTTAAAGCTTCTAAATGTATTTTTTCCCTAAACCCTGATAGCTGTTTGGTTTTGTTGATTTGGGGTTTTTTTTAATTATTATTTACAAATTATTTTTTACAAAAAGGCTAGGTATGAACTTAGTGCCTCTCTCCACCGTGCCTTTTCATTCGATGAGACTAAAGCAGCCTGCTTCCGTCCTTAAAGTTCCCATTCTTGTAATGCTGCTGTCGCTCTATCTACAACCTGCTCATGCTCTGGGGAAAAAAGACTTCAAGGCATCTTTACCACGAAAGGAAAACACCTGAGAACATGTTTCTGTGTAACCTGGTGGCTTTGGCTGCTTGTTCCCCTCTGATGAGACCGAGACCGCTGGGCTGGTTGCTTTGTCCTCTGTAGCTGCGATTCCCCTGAGCATGGCTTCGATGGGAGCAGACGATGAGGGGGTTTCACCAGAACTGCCGTGCAAAATGAGCCTCTGTGACAGAAGGTCCTTCACACAAACTGCAGGGCCAGGGCCGCCTGCTCCCTGCTCTCCTTCCTCCGCCGTCGAGTCAGGCACCAAAACTGAGTAAGAAATGATTAGGGTAAAACAATTAAGCTAATTTGGCAATGATGCTTCTGCACAATCCTTTATTGTGCTTGCACGCCCTAGGCTGTAGATGGGTTAGGTTTGTGATGATCCAGATTTTAAAAAGAATGACAGCATGAAGAAATTTAATTTTGCATCTAATCACTCTCGTGTGCCTCTAACGCTTCCATGTCATTTGGTACAACGTTTCACTCTAGCACACAAGATGCAGAAAGCAAAGTGGTAATATGAGAACTACAGGGGATGATTTCTGTACATGGCAATACTTTTTAAATGCTGTGCAGTATGACTACTGCAAAAACCCTACAAAAAATAAATAAACCAAATAAATTCCTTTGTACTTTCAGGACTAGGTCTGTGTAGACAAGGAGCTGATTAGCTTCAGACCAAAGTGTTTTGGGGGAATTTTACAAATCTTCTCTTCCTCCTTCTCTCTACCACGTTCCTACATCAGTTCTTTGACTATACTGGTTGCGATAAAGCTGTTCTGTGGATTTTAAGCTTGAAAATTTTTAGTAAATGGCAGCTTTATTTCCAGACAGTTCATATTTTTCAGCTGAAAATGGCAGCCTCTGAAACGTACATGTGACTTCTAGGTTACATGGACTAGCAACCGTACTATGCTAACCTCAAATTTCCAGCGATACATCTGAACTGCAAGCGCCAGCCTGCTGGGCTGCAGGCTCTATGTGGGAAGCAAACATAATCTGCAGTGGGACCCCTGCAGCTGCAGGACCACTGCCGATCGAATCCCTCACGGCTTTATGCTGCTCTGTGCCACGCAGAAAACTACTGACAAGAGTTGGCCCAACCCTGCACTTGGGAAATGGGGAGAGTTGAGGGTTTTTTTTCTCTTGTGCCATAAGGGATACTCAGAAATAGCTGTTAAAAATGTTAATTCTTCATCTTCAGCTGTTTAGAAATCACACATTCTAGCACGTCAGTATGGTGATCGGGGTTTGTGAAGTTCAGTTGCAATACTGAGCCCAAAAATAGAGCCTCAAGAGCTAGAGAAGCTTCAGCAAATGCAACACATCCCAGTCTTTTCTGAGCTCTCTGTCACAGTACTTGGCATATTCTATTTGCTAGCCAGTCACCCGTATTTACTTCGTGTAATACACAGGGCTAGAGGCATGAACACAAGCTGCTGGGACGCCCATGTGGGAATGCCAGAACGGAGAGCAGGGAGTGAGCCGTGCCTCCGACTGGCTGAGCAGCGGAGCTCCCCGCGCTGTGCCGTAGCAACAAACCTCACCACTCCAGGTGAAACCGAGCCCGGCTCCTTCAGCAGTTTGGGCTTTGAAGCTGCTTTCCCATTCCTCTATTTCCTCCTCCCTTGCCCTCCGAGAAGCAAAGCAAAAGCCCCGCGACTGCATTTATGAACACGGGAGAATATTCATCAGGGACAAGTGACCTCCTGCTGCTAATTCTGAGTGTGAGGTATTTAGGCTTTCGCGTCACACTGCAACACAGCACAGAGCCGGTGCCAAAGAGCCACTGCGGCATCACTTTATGGACTCAGCGAGGCAGCCCTGGCCTGTAGCTGCCTTCTTCCAGGGGCTGGCGTTTACTCAGCTGCTCCAAGGAGCTCCAGTCGCACTTCTTTGTAAATTATTTCAACACCAGTGGCAAAGAGTGGTGACTGGCATACAGCTATACTGCGTACCCTGTTATCTCCCCTAATGAGGTGGCTTTCTCAACTGAACTGGTATTGCTTTTTGGTCACCGCAGTGGGTATCTCTGGAGAAGATGTAATGAGGGGGAAAACTAGGTCGCTCATCGCTAATCTGCTTCCCCCCACCTCCCACTCCCTGCCTGGCTGACTGGAGATGTTGCCATAGCGCAGGATCTAACCCCAGGGCTGCTTCTCTGCCACCATGTCCTGCCTTCAGCTCTGGTTCTGCCATTCCAGCAGAGGCTGAGGTGGGGTAAGAAAGACTTCTCATTTGGGAAAACTGTCAGGTGTAGCAAATAAACAGAAAGAAATGAATGGATGTACATCTGGAATGGGATTTCCATTACATCACAGCAAGTTAATTGAAGTTATTTGCATTAAATAGGCTTGTTATTCATTGTAACTGTTGTTTTGATTTGCATTCCCTCTTTAAAGGAAAGACACTGTACTTGAAAGACAGTTCTGATGAAAAGGGTAAAGAATACCTGCAGTCTGTGTGAATAGCAGCATTTGTATGTTTTAACATAATACCTTTAGATTTTTTTTAAGCTATCAGGTCATATGCTGTTTCATTCCTTCTCTGTCACATAATCTTACAGTTCCTGTAGCTTTGCTGTTGTTTTGCTTTTCATGCACCTCCTTATAAGTAAATAAAATGGCCAAAATAAGTTATGCTTTGAATGGCAAGCTAGCCTTTATAATTCATGCATCATTGATATGTATTTCCTGGAGGAGGCTTAAACAGGAGAAACAACTCTTAAAGACAGCAGTAAGTAGGAAAAGGTTGCCATCTAGTTTGTATTTTGTAATCTGGTCCTATGTTGCTGTGGCCTTGAAAAGCAGTCTCTCAAGACAGTTCTCTTCAATACTAACATCTGTGTTCATAATGTAGCAATGCTGCCTTAAAACACTGGTAAAGATTCAAAAGGGAACGACTACAAAATAGCCTTAGATGCTACTGAACACCTTAAAGGAGAACTGACAATTGCTTCTATCTCCAGTGAAGTCCTGCCTCCCCCAGACCACAGCACAGCCTAGTCACCCGCTGTGGGGCTTTGCAGTTGTTCAGATAGTTTCCTTAGCAAGGAAGAAAACAAAACAAAAAGGGAATTTCCTTCAGAGAACAGATGCCAGCCTCTGTACCGTAATCTTATTTGTTATGTACTAATGTAGAAGAAAGGGTAATAAAGGCACTGGGCACTCTGAAGTAAACGTTACCGACTACAGCTGTCGGCTCAGTCCTGCAGCCGGGACGCTGCCAGCAGAGCCACGGCACTCACCCCCATCCCGGGCAGCAGCTGGGGCGCACCCAGGGCAACACCGACCTTCTTCCAGTGGAAACTCCCATGCCTCGGGAATTACGGGACGTGCCCTGCTTGTTTCCTTCTCCTGCCAACTCCTGCAGCCGAGCGTTGCTCATGGCGCAGCCGAGTCCGCGCCGTCCTGCCCGGGGACCCAGGCGCTGTTCCCTGACCGGGAGGGGGGAGGCTAAAGGCCTCCTCGGTGGCGGTCGGCGCG